ATAAATATGTGTTAATTGAACAGTATAAAATGTACAAGCATGTGTTAATGATACTGTAAATGTTGACATGGTGATGATTAAAACCTGTAAAAGGTGTCAAGTACAATAATCTACATATTTTTCAACTTGATAATAAATTGTGGAGTACCATTGATTAATATCCCTTGTCTCAAGTTGATTAAAGATGCATTCTACACAATACTATAGCTTGGTTTGTAACAAAATAGGTTTAACTTAAGTGGTTGGCAGAACTTCACGAATTCACTATAGTACCAGTAACTGTCTCTTCTTGGATAGATTTTAATATCATTATATATACATGTATATACTGTCTGTCTTAGTCTAATTTAGAGCCGCAGTGGCTCGGTAAGTTAGCCATTGGCTAGCTAACCTGGAGGTCAAGTGTTCGGTACGACCAAGAAAGTTCACCACCGTTCTTAGTTGTGTGAGACGGCGAGATGGATGACCTGGCAAGGGACGATGGGATGGGATGGAAAATTGTGGTCCCTGTAATACATTGGTGTGCACGTAAAAGATCCCTTCCTTGGCTGTTGAAATTTGATATAAGAGTAGACAGTAGCGCCACTGTCCAGACAAAATGTCCCTCATATCACACTTTATGGCTTAGTCGCGTAAGCCCGTCTCCATTAGCCCAGTCAGAGCAGAAAAGTAGGATGTCAAACCCTATTTCATTTCTTAGTCTTTGATTTAAAAAACAAATTGATATTATTATATACTTTTGTTTCATAGTCTGATTAATGACATAAAATTGTTTGTCTCGGACAGAATTTGATATGATTGTATACTTTCTATCATAGTCTGAGAACTGGCATGGTTCCGATTCCCGGGTTGTAAATGACAAGGAGTAGGGTCACCTGTCCAACCCTATGGGTTTTCTCTGATTCCTCCGTTTTCCTCCCACTGGTAAAAACCCCTACGCGCAAGTGAATTAATGAAATAAAATTGAACCATGTGTTAGTCCCGAAATGACCTAGTTTGGGTCGAGTGGATGTTAACCCCATCACTCTCTCTCTATCTCGGGGGGTTGAATGGCTGAATGGTTAGCGTGCACGCGCTGTATCATAAAGTCTGTCATTGAGTCGACTGGCGAGGTTTCGAATCCCCGGTTGTACGTGGCAAGGAGTAGGGTCGCCTGTCCAACCTCGTGGGTTTTCTCTGGGTCCTCCGGTTTCCTCCCATTGCTAAAGACCCCTACGCGCAAGCGAATTATGTAAATAAAATTAAACCATGTTAGTCCCGAAATGACCTAGTTTGTGTCGAGTGGACGTTAAACCCCATTTCTCTCTCTCTCTCTCTTAGTTTGAGGTTTTACTTCTAACTGTCAGTAAAAGTGTATAAAACGAGGTCAGTGTATAATTTACTGGTGGTCAGTTTAACATATATGACCTTAAAATATACCCCACTTGTAAGTAAAACATCTCTTTATACATACCATTACATTATACAGTATATACACCAATAGTCTATAGTAATACATACCATTACATGGATTTATACCACACTTGATGTAATATACACCTATATACCACAGTTGATGAGGAGAGGTAATTGGTGACAGATAAAAAACTTAATTATATTCCAATTAAAACTTGTAAGTATCATATATATCTCTCTATATATAATATGTGCCAGACATATACTTAATTGTTTTACAATTTAAACAAGTTTTTCATTTTTAAAATTTGGATTATAAGTTCCTTAAAATGCTTTAAAGGAAATTGAAAGGACTTTAAAATATGTTGATGTGGAACTTAAAATGTTTTAAAAGAGAATTGTGTGCTGATCTGTGGAATGGATTTTATGAAATATTTACAATCAGGATTTGCAACTTAACATGTCCCAAAGTTGCTATAAGATAAACTCAGGGGTGGGAAACCTTTTTAAGGATGAATGCTAGCTAAAATCAGCCATGTCTTTGATACAAAATGTTTTCAAATGCCAAGCTAAATTTGTTGTGGGATGTATTATTAGTAGTTGTGGTCTTTTAAGTATTGGGAGGATCAGGGCTCAAAAAGAAATGCAAGTACCCCAAAACATTATCGCAAAAATCAAAATTTAATCACCACTTACATTTTTTTATTGCCAATTGTGACTTAGGCAACAGACAGTGTGTGTCCTTGGGTTCTTGCCTTCTCCTAATAAACCCAACCTCCCCACTGCCATTAAGTAATGTAGTTAGGATATCGGGCTTCTATTTGACAAGGACTTGGATCAACTTCCTAACTTCATGGGTTTTCTCCAGGTTATCTGAACATAAGCGAATTTTTGAAATAATGTACCATAGATTAGTCAACAAAAACTCAACTTACCATTAGTTGAGAAATCAAAATTCCTATGATTTATAACTCTATTTGACCTTTCATAATTGGACTAGTTTTTGACATTTTAACTTGGCATTTCCACCAATTATAACAAAACCACCTTCCACATCATCTGTGGTATGACTTATATAGGGGGCGAAATTATTTAAGACTCTAACGGAAGGATAGTCATTTATTAACGATAATTATTAAGATAACTGAGATTCTGTGAAGCGAATATTACGTATAGCATGTGTTTCATGTGACATGCATTTTGTTGTATTTTGTGAATGAGTTGAATTGATGTTCCTCCAGAATCTGTTGGCCAGTATTATATTATCGCAATATGGAATCTTAATTCATGTGTTTCATTATGACAAGTAGGTTAGGAATGAGTTCAATTGATGTTGCGTACATGTAAATCGTCTGGAAGTCTGTTTATAACAGGGAAGGTGGGAAGTCGCCAGAAACTGTGAAGAGCCTTCAAATAATTTTTAATGAATGTTCTTCTGCCTACGTATCATTCTACATGTATCTATTTATCATTCAGGATACAAATTTTCTCATCACAGGATATTTTCTTCAGATCAAGATTCTATAATGTCAGAGTATAAATTTTGTTGTGTGTTAATTTTAACTGTTTTTACGGAATGTTGCAGCTGTTGAGTAGTAATTTTTGGAATAATAATTTTGTTATGTGTTAATTTTAACTTTGTTCAGAAATGTTGTAGCTGTTGAGTAGTAATTTTTGGAATAATATATTTTTTGAGGGGGTTACATTATTATAAATGGTAGCGTAATACAAAGTGATACCGTAATTAAATGTGAATTAATCGATTTGAAAATTGTAAATGGCATACAGAGATTTTTTACTGTGTTTGGAAATATTGTAGCTCTGCTAAATATTCAGTTTTTGAATAATAATGAATAAAGATCACAACACACGTGTTTTGGAGGTTATATTATGATGAATGATAGGGTAATACGAAGTGATGATTTATACAGTGTATGAATATTTGAATATAAAACGAAATGACCTTTTGTCGTGTAATTTGAAAATGAAGGATGTTTGTGTCTGTACGTTTACTGTAAATTATATAAAAATTTCAATAATAATGGAAGAAAAAGGGATATTTATGTAATAAGACAAACTTGTGAATGAAAATAGTCACGTAAATATTGTTTAAGATGTTTTGAAGAATTGGATTAAACTTTGCGATTAGTAGATTTTTTTCGTTTGTGGATTACGCTTATATTTAACAAAAGTTGTTTAAACTTGTGGATGAAAATAGTTGTGTAAATGTTGTTAAATTAAGATCTCTTGAAAGGATTGGATTAAACGATGTGATTAGTAGTTTTTTTTCGATTGTGGATTACACTTAAATTTAAGAAAAGATGTTTGAACTTGTGGATGGAAATAGTTGCGTAAATGTTGTTTAATTAAGATGTTTTGAAAGGATTGGATTAAACTTTGTGCATTGTAAATTTGTTTCGTTTGTGGATTACCGGTACAATTAAATTTAAGAAAAGATGTTTAAACTTGTGGATGGAATAGTTGCATAAATATTGTTTAAAATGTTGTGAAAGAATTGGAATAAACTTTGTGCCTAGTACATTTTTTTCGTTTGAGGATTACAATTAAATTTAAGAAAAGATGTTTGAACTTGTGGATGGAATAGTTGCGTAAATTTTGTTCAAAATGTTGTGAAATACTTGGATTAAACTTTTCTCATTAGTGATTCATAATTAAACTTAAGAAAGGATGTCTAATAAGCCAATTCCGATGAAAAACAAGGTTTTTAGTTTTATATTATAGATCTATGTATTTTTAGCATTGTTTATTTTAAGGCCTCAAATATCGGCATGAGCCCTCATTCACGAAAACTTAAACTAAGTTACAACCGAAATTTTAGGAAATCCTGCAACTTCATTGGATATATGCAAATTGATTTTACTGGTCAGCCAATCGAATTGCAGTATTTCTTAAAATTTTGATTGTATCTTAGTTTAAGTTTTCGTGAATAAGGGCCCTGGATAAAACAATTTTACCGGACAAAATGTCAGACACTAATGAACTAGTCCTTGAAATTTTGAATTTTGTGGTGGACATATTAATATTCAATCTGATTAAATTACAGATCTATATTTCGTTTCGTTTTTTTTTTTATTCTTTCGATGGCCTACACTGCAAGAAAATTGGTTGTAGTGGAAGGTCGCATCAGAGGTGATACGAGCGACTTTTGACCCAATAGTTCTGTGCACCTCAAGCCTAAAACTCGCGATAACAGACCGTTTCATTAGTTGATCCCTCACATCATCCAGAACATGGGTTGTATAACAACTCTTCCAGATCCTAGTATAGTAAAGACAAGTAAAACGAAATTTTGAACTGTAAAAAACGAAATGAAATAGGATCTGTGTTTTAATCAGATTGTATTAATATTATCAATAAAACACTGAAATTTTGAATTTTGTCTGGGACATATATTAAAGGTATCAATAAAAATACTGAAATCAGATAAATTTCACATGTGCCAGAGTCTGTATCAGTATCAGGTGCCATAGTTTCGAACTTGGATGTTCTAATTGATTTTAAATGTTTTAACAGGTGTTTTAGGGATTGACTGCAACCTGTATGAGAGTTTCTTAAATTAAAAATGTTTCATATATTTTTTTCAGGGCAGTAACATGTATTATTGGGCCCACCTGGAACCAACAACAGGAAGTCATCACCTGGAACTGGCCCCTACTAAATTGACCCCAATGTGGCCCCCGCCCAGTTCAGTTGAAGAAGAAGTCAAACCTGGATTAAAATACACAGAAGCAGGTGAAATATTTTTTATGTTTAGGTTAACGGGTTAATGACCACCTTCTACTATATGGACTAGGAACTGACCCTGATGGCATTGCTACTATATTGGACCAGGAACTTACCCTGGTGGCATTGCCGCTATGATGGCGCTGTCTTGGACTAGGTACTGATCCTGATGGCATTGCTGCTATGTTGGACTAGGAACTGATCCTGATGGCATTGCCGCTATCTTGGACTAGGAACTAATCCTGATGGCATCGCCGCTATCTTGGAATTATGATGGCATATCAAAAATCAAAGTCTGTCAGTTGTTAAAATGGATAATTGGATACATTTTTTGTTATCATACCAATGATATTTGACATTCGAGACTAACGTCGCTCAGAATAAAGTTATTTTACGGACATTGTCATTATATTCATTTTTTATTATGTATTTATTTTTGAACAATTATACTGAGAACGACCAGCTCTTTATCTAAATCTTACATAATGTGTGTTAATGGATCTATAATAGTATTTTCATGGAACATCATACCCTATTAATATTTCAGATCATCAGTCAGCGATGGTACAGATACGTCAACAATATAAAGATGATTTTGATAAATTAAAGGTAAGAGCTAATGTTTATAGCCACAGTGGCTCAGTGAAGAAGACCTGGACTCACAAACCAGGATGTCTGAGTTTCAATCCCAGTGTTTAGGCTGAGATGGTTAGCCAGGAATTTTCAGTCTGGTTACGTCCCCTTGTCAATGGCACAGGATGGAGGGTCTGGGCAAGGAAAGTAGCATATAGTCGTCTACTTGTTGGCAAGCATGTAAAAGAATCTTTGACAGTTGGAATTCATTGAAGAAGAGGAGGAAATGTTGTCTAGGCAAAACTTCATTAGCTTGGTTCTTGCAGAAAAGTAAAAAATAAAAATGATATGAAATGCAAATGAAATGAAATGCAAATGAAATGAAATGGGGTTACATGTCCTACTGTTCTGTTCCGACTGGGCTAATGAAGACAGGCATCGCCATACAGTGTGCTATGAGGTAAATTTTACCTGCACAGCAGCGCTATGGTCTACTGTTATATTGAATTCCAACTGCCAAGGATCTTTTACATGCACACCAGGTGTACACAGGACCTTGGTTTTTTTGTCCCATCCGAACGACTAGACAGCTGTCCTTGTCTGGCCCCCTCGTCCAGCACCTCTGCCAAGGATGAACTTTCTCTGCCAACATCTGGAGTGAACCCTGAACCTCCAGGCCTTTCGAAACAGCATCCTGCACACTGAGCCACCATGACTCCTAGAAAAGTAGGAATTTAAACCCTAACCATTTTATCATCCCGTTAAGCGGGGACTGCTCCTTTAATCAGCATTTGTCCAACCTCATGGGTTTTTTCCAGGTCCTCCGGTTTCCTCCCACTGCTAAAGACCCATACGCGCAAGCGAATTATGGAAATAAAATTGAAACATATGTTAGTCCCGAAATGACCTAGTTTGTGTCGAGTGGACATTAAACACCCCCCTCTCTCTCTCTCTCTATTTCTGAAGAGAAATTTATTCCAGTATTCTCTCTCTCAATCAGTATTTGCTGATCTATGTATTAATTAGTAATTACATGAGAATAATTAATTATTATAAATTCAACATGGTGTATGGTTGTAATATCAGACTTATGAATATTACAATCAATTAACTCAGTGGTAAATAATTATAAGGCCAAAATTTTAGAAAATATGTTTCTGGGATATCCCTGTGGCACTTACAAAGATCCCCATGACCCATTTTTATTTCCAAAATTAAAAAATGGAAACAATCTATCTAAGTTACAGGAATTAACTCTATATAAAAACAATTTCATTGGATCTGGAAATGTACCTAACTGTAGGCTCATTTATCAAGTATACAATTGCAACCTCGATAAATGTTATTGACAGTCATAAATGAAACTGGATAATCATACATTCCTATAAACAACATGGTTAACCTGCGCGCGCTGTATCATAAAGCCTGTCATTGAGTCAACTGGCGTGGTTTTCATTCCATTGTTGTAAGTGACAAGGAGTAGGTTCACCTATCCAACCTCGTGGGTTTTCTCTGGGTCCTCCGGTTTCCTCTCACTTCTGTAGACCCCTATGCGCAAGCGAATTATTGAATTAAAATTAAACCTCATGTTAGTCCCAAAATGACCTATTTTGTGTCGAGTGGACGTTAAACACCATTTCTCTCTCTCACTTATGAGAAGTCATTTAGCCCAGTAGTGACCCTCTGATGAGAAAAAAAAAAATATCCGTATCGCATCCAATTTTTAGGAAAGATTGTCTTAAAACCAGAATAATTTTTTTATAAGGCCTAACAGAGAGGGAGAGAGAGACATTAACAAATATTTTTGCATATATACAGATATATAATACAGGCAATAGTAGTTGCATATATTAGATCAAATCAACACGGAATTCAGATAAAAGTTCACAGACATATGGATAGATGTTACAACATCTGTATTAGTATCAGCCGGACTGTTTCTTTGGAAAACATTACAACTACCAATGAAACAATTAATCACAGCGGACTATTTTTAATCTCAGCTCAAAACATTCTTGTTTCAAAACCTTGATCTGTAAATAATCAGTGAATATAACAACCAACAGTGCCTTAGAAACTGTTCTTCAGTGTATATTAACACGCTTTATAAATATTGTCATCATATCTCAGTAAATTGTTTTTATGTCATATAATAGTTGAACTGGAAAGAACATTATTTGATAATGACTAGAGAAGCCTAATCGAAACGTCGCTCGGTAATAGTCTGTGATTGTTTTCCATAGAATTGTGTGCTATGTATTTGATTATGACTACAGAATAACGACAGAATGACAGTTGAAACGTCGCTCAGTAATAGTCTGTGATTGTTTTCCATAGAATTGTGTCCTGTGGGGATACCTCAGGACAAAAAAATACCCAATTTTTAAAATTCTTGAGGTTTTAGAATATTTTAGGGCTAGTAAGAGTATCAGTTTGGATATATCAGTAGCTAGTGTTTAATAAATTCATAATAAATTAAAATACAATAATATGGGGAATGTTATTAAAAGAAAGAAAAGAAAAGGAGATAGGAAAAAACTTGTATCTCGTGAAAATGAGTTGGAACCACTTCAGGTAATTATTATCTTTCCTTTGAAAGAGAGGGGGAGAAATGGGGTTTAACGTCCACATGACATGAACTAGTTCATTTCGGGACTATTATATGGTTCAATTTTATTTCAATAATTCGCTTGTGTGTAGGGGTCTTTAGTAGTAGGAGGAAACTGAAGGACCGGAGAAAACCCACGAGGTTAGACAGGCGGCCCTACTCCTTGTTCTGTACAACCGGGGAATCAAAACCACACCAGTTGACTCAATGGCAGACCGTATGATCCAACCCCCTATCAATCCTTTGATCAGTTCTGACACCAATTCCAAAACTTATATCTGACAAGGAGTAAAGTCCACTGCCAACCCGGTGATCACGTGGCTAAGTGGGTAAGACGCTGGCTCGCTAGCCTGGAGGTTGGGTGTTCGATCCCTGCATTGGCCGAGAAAGTTCATCCAGATTTTCCGGCGTGGTTTCCCCTTGTCAGTGATGCAGGACTGAGGGCCTGACAAGGACAGCTGTCTAGTCTTTCAGATGAGACGAAAAACCGAGGTCACGTGTATACATTGGAATGCACGTAAAAGATCCCTTGGCAGTTGGAATTTAATATAAGAGTAGGCCGTAGCGTCGCTGCCCGGGCAAAATTTCCCTCATAGCACACTGTATGGCGCGTGCCCGTCTTCATTAGCCCAGTATAGGAGCAGAACAGTAGGACGTTAAACCCCATTTCATTTCATTTCATTTCCACTGCCAACCCTTGTGAGTTTTCTCCAGACCATTCAGTGTCCTCTACTGCTCAACGCCTAGCTCACATCCCGCTGTACGTGCTAGTAAACTTGTAAGTGAGACTTATTCGTTACTTGCATGTCTTCAGCAGACTGGCCGTAGAGACTTTTGGTTCTGTATATACAAATTTTTCAGCCGGTTTCTTGTGGCTGGTCTGCGAGCTACCAAACTCCAAGATGTGAGTGTCGGAACATGTACGGCGAATTGTGAGCTAGACTTTAGACCGCTCTCTTTCTCTCTGGGGGGGGGGGGGGGTTGGATGTCTGAATGGTTAGCACGTGCGCGCTTTATCATAAAGCCTATCATTGAGTCAACTGGCATGGTTTCGAATCCCGGTTGTACGTGACAAGAAGTAGGGTCGCCTGTCCAACCTCGTGGGTTTTCTCCGGGTCCTCCCTTTTCCTCCCACTGCTAAAAGACCCCTACGCGAAAGCGAATCATTGAAATAAAATTAAACCACATGTTAGTCCCGAAATGACCTAGTTTGTGTCCAGTGGATGTTAAATCCCATCTCTCTCTCTCTCTCTCTCTCTCTCTCTCTCCCTCCCTCCCTCCCTCCCTCTCTCTCTCTCTCTCTCTCCCTCTCTCTCTCCTGTTTAAATGATATATTTATATTTCAGGAAGAACATCAGTGTGAACTAGACAAGGTCAAGGACGATTACGTCAAGAAGATAAAAGAATGTACTGAAAGAATTTTACTGTTACAAAAAGAAGTTGAACATTATCAAGTTTTAGCGGGAATCGAAAAATTAACACAAAATGCATTATCTGAAGCGAATGCTGCAAGTCAAGAGGAAGGTCAAAGGTCATCACAAAATGGTTTCGCTGGATCAGAAGAAAGGAGAAACGAAAGAATGATTTATGTGACGGGAACACCGAATAATTCAGCCAGTTATAACGATCAATTGATTACGCCTGAGTGTGTGCGCGATGGATCAAGTTACCCAGCATTCACCTCCCCGGATGATTATCTATCCCCGTTACATCCACCACAAGAACTCGTTCCGACACCAAAGAAACAGAACTCTTGTAACGAGTTACCAGGCGGGCCGGTTGTATCTCCATTAGGAAATGTTGTTCATGCCCCACCCCCTCCCCCTGGAGCTCCTCCATTACCTGGTAATATGAACCCACCACCACCACCTCCTCCTCCCCCTCCAGGTATGGGTCCACCCCCACCCCCTCCACCGCCTCCTGGAATGGGGCCACCTGCTCCTCCCCCGTTACCTGGAATGGGTCCCCCACCTCCTCCTCCACCTCCTGGCAGTATCACTAAAACCAAAGGTAAGTTTAAAGGACAATATTGGTGCCAGTCATTATCACATATGTGATAGAGCTGGTTAAACATTAGTGAGCAGAAATTAGCCCGTAGACCCATTATCACTCGTCACATCAGTCAGTTATATAGAGAGATGACTTGTGTTTTCCTTTGGCATTCGTCACTTCCGATTCAGGAAACCTGTATTACTCAGCTATCGTAGCAATGATCTCTGTGTTAAAATTATATTTGGAATGTGTTTAACCAGCTCTATCACATATGTGATAATGACTGGCACCAATATTGTCCTTTAATAAATTGACAGATTGGAGTATAAAATTAAAATATTATATAAAGACTTGCTTTAAAATTTGATCTTTTAAGATTTATTAATGGTCAAAATTTGACTCTGTGAAATATCTTAAACATACATTGTGCAAGAGCTAAATCTGCCTATTTCAGGTCTTTCTTTAGGCCTGAAATGTTTTCTAAATTATTAATTAGACATTAATAGACATTAATAATTAACTTATCCAGACCATAATCAACTCTCGATGTGATCGCTAGCCTGTGATATTTACTGGATTAGGATCCAATTTGCTGCTCAACTTTCATTCATGATTTAATCATGAAATGAATAATCGAGACTATGGGTTTTTTTATCGTACCGACTTTGGTAATGATGATCGAGGCTAGGCCTTTACATTATCTAGTTTTTAACTATTATAGTGAGAACTGCCAGCTCTTTATCTAATCTCCCATAATGCTCCTTAACACTGTAACCCAGGTATCATTTAATCTTGTGTATCTAGCACTAATTTCTTTCACATTCAGAATCTGTAATATGTTTTAAATTTATGTATTTTGACTAGGACCATCAAAGCCTATGATTAGTCCAAAATCTCCGATGAAACCATTATTTTGGCAGAGGCTACAAGTTCATACTTTAAGACAGAGAGAAAAAAAGTAAGTTTTTATTGTAAAATATTTACATACACGTATTTTATAGTCTGCATGCCATGTACTCAGACCAGGAAATAAGGTTTTAGACATATCTGACAAAATGAAATAGTACCTGACATTTTCAACTTAGTGCTGGACATGTATTAATAATATCAGTAAAAAAGACCAATGACATTCATCAGAGGTTTTGTGTCTGACAAAGCCTGAATCTGTGCCTGACATTGTCTGTGACAGGTGCCTTATTTCCAGGGTTGCATGTACTGCAATTTCATCCCGATAATACAGTCTCATGATAAACCTATAATCAACTCTCTAGACTATCAAATTGAAATGAAATGGGGTTTAACGTCCTACTGTTCTGGTCCGACTGAGCTAATGAAGATGGGCATACGCCATACAGTGTGTTATGAAGGAAATTTTTGCCTAGGCAGCGGCACTATGGCCTACTCATATCGAATTCCAACTGCCAAGGGATCTTTTACGTATACGCCAATGAATACACGGGTCCTCAGTTTTTATCCCATCCAAACGACTAGACAGCTGTCCTTGTCAGGCCCTCCATCCTGTACCACTGACTAGGGGGGAACCACACTAGAAAATCTGGATGAAATTTCTCGGCCAATGCAGGGATCGAACACCCGACCTCCAGGCTAGCGAGCCAGCGTCTTACCCACTTAGCCACTGTGGCTCCTCTCTAGATTATCAGATATTAAATGAATTAGACCATCCACACCATTTAATGTTATTGTAGTATTGGTACTTGACAATTGAGACTAATTAGACCATCCACACTATTTAATGTTATTGTAGTAATGATACTCGACAATTGAGACTAATTAGGCTAAATCTTGTCAAAATTTCCAAGAGTTAAATTACATGTGTTAATTATTACAGATTAAGTGAGTTACAGTTATTTTGGGAAAAGGTTGAAGAACCGGTTGTTGATATGGATGAATTCGATTCCATGTTCTGTAAATTACCCATCGAACGGAAAACAAAAACATCGACCACTAAAAAGAAGGCAAAAACGAAAGAGGTAAGTAGTAAGCAACTATAAGATATAAAATTGATGAGAATTAATAAAACATACATTATAAAAGAGCTAAATCTACCTTCTTTAACCCTGAAATCGTATCTAAATTATTAATTAGACATTAATTAACTTATCCAGACCATAATCAACTCTCGATGTCATCACTAAGCTGCGAAGGCAGAAAATTTGGTCAGATTTGGGACTTCTATCAATAATAGAACAGCATAAACCCAGCATACTTTCTTCCATGAATTTTATATGAGATTTTATTAACTTATATTTGACATGTATATATTAGGATAGGCCTATTTCCGAGTTCTCCATCCATCTATTGCAAAATATGGATGTATCTTTCATGGCAACCTCTGGTGTGCCAGCTTTTATATATTTCTATTTGATATGTATATATTTCAGGTTGCCAAGGTGATAGATGCCAAGAGATCACAATCAGTAGGAATATTTCTATCCAGTCTCCGTCTGGAAATGGTGGATATAGAAAATGGTGAGTAATAAATAATTTAATTATTAAGTCTGCTTACTTTCATTTCCACCATACCCTTTGTAATCTTCTCCTTGTTGTAAGGGGTTGGGTGATTAAATGAGTGTGCGTTAAGATTCACCAGATCTGTCATTGACTCAAGTGGCATGGTTTCGATTCACAGCTTGTATGTGACAAGGAGTAGTGTCGCCTGTCCAACCTCATGGATTGTCTCCTGGACCTCGGGTCTCCGCCCACAGTTAAAGACCCTATTACGCGCAAGTCAATTATTGAAATAAAATTGAACCGTATGTCCCGAAATGACCACGTTTTTGCCGAGTGGACATTACACACGCTCTCTCTCTCTCTCTCCCTCTCTTCTTGTTCTTCTAGTGTTGACTCTCCTCCAATTAAGCCATCAGGCTCCATTAATTTCAGTAGGCCTAATATAAACAATAAACGTGGCATGCTTGTTCTTTGGACAATTGAGTAATGATTGACAGACATAGATTTTTGATCTAGGGTGGCTGTGGTGACGTCATACATGGTTCATTTCATTTCATTTTTATTCTCTTACAAACATTGTCTTTATTTTATTACACTTGTCAATCCGCATACTTGAGGGATATTTTTTCCATACAGCCAGGGCTGGGGTAATGGTAATCAAATGTAATCATTACATTTTTTAAGTAATGGCCATGTAATGAGTAATGGAAGATTTCAAAAGTAATGAGTAATGGAAATGTAATTAATTACATTCCAAAAATCGTGTAATGGTCAATTACATTTCAATTACTTTTCAATTACATTTTATGTCACATTTATGCCTGTATATTTTTAGAAATATTTTTTTGATAATTGATGTTTTACCGTAGTTATTGTTTTAGCTGTTTATTTATTGTCTTTGTTTAGCTATTCTGAATTTAGATACCTCTGTGATAGAACAAGAGAAGTTGAAATCTATTTACGATATGGTAAGTATAACCTTCTTTATACACTTTTATTATACCGGGGTTACAGTGTTAAGTCCCCTACACGCAAGCAAATTATTGAAATAAAATTAAAAACAATATGTTAGTCCCAAAATGACCTAGTTTTTTGTCGAGTGGACGTTAAACCCCATTTCTCTCTCTCTCTCTCTCTCTCTCTCTCTCTCTCTCTCTCTCTCTTTATTATAAGGTAAGTATAAACTTCTTTATATACTTTTATTATACCATAAATTATCACACAACGTACAAATACAACAACAGAATGTAGTAGCTAACTGAATACAAACAAGCCTAGACACAAGACATCTGTCACAGACTTCATCAAGTACAAATGAAGAGTCCAGGAGAAGAACGATCTAAGTCACATTTTTGACTTTTGCATAAAAGACAATGAACGAGAATGTTTAGCCCAAACAGAACAACGAGTGGGTTTAATTACAACTTCAAAATGATGTTTAATACAAATCATAATTACCAATACAACTGACTTCAACTTTTCAGGCAAATTAAGGTTAAATAAAGGGTATGATGGACTTGTATTTGTCCGGGAGACCATTTCAGAAGGGCCTTGGTTCGATGTGACAACGATCATTTTTACCTGAAATTGATTGTTCCACAGCAAGCTTATACAATTTGCTACCAGATGGCCCCATTATCTGAGGTTCGTTGAAAAAGTGACTTAGATCGTTCTTCCCCGGGGCTCTTCAAATATCACACAAGGTGCCTGTCATCACAGAGTTTGTCAGGCACAAATTATTTCATAATATATATATTATAATAAAAACATTGTGTAATAATTTGTGTGTATGGAGTAAAGTAAGATATTTGATGTTATTTATTATAGAGAGGAACAGAAGAAGAAATTAAAATGATTACCAAATATTTGAGTAAAAATCCTGATGTTCAGTTAGATAAACCAGATCAGTTAGTATAGAGTTATTTCCCTTTATCCACTTCTATACATTGTAAATGAAATATCTGCTCCGAACTGGGCTAATGAAGACGGGCATACGCCTTTCAGTGTGCTATGAGGGAAATTTTGCCCGGACAGCGGCACTACGGCCTACTCTTATATTGAATTCCAACTGTCAAGGGATCTTTTACGTGCAGGCCAATGTGTACACGGGACCTTGGTTTTCATCCTATCCGAATGACTAGACAACTGTCCTTGTCAAGCCCTCCGTCCTGTATAAATTGTATTGGAATCACATAATGAATAAATGTTAAGAACTGATATCACTCACAAAGATTGCTGGTAGAGGGAGTGACGAATGATACTTTGTGGGTGTAGAATATGAAATGTTGGCAGATTCCGTCGTGCAACGACTGGTAATCGTGGGAGACCAATTTCTGTTATTTCTTGTCAAAACTTCAAACATTCATAACTTCATTCAGAATAAAGTAATTTGACGACAATTTCAAAATATTAATTTTTCTTTATCTTTTTTTAAACTATTATAGCAAGAAAGACCAGCTCTTAACCTAAATGTTACATCATAACGAGTGAGGCTACCCAAAAAATGATTTCTGAAATTCTAAAGCTAGTGAATTGAAAATGGCACAAGTAGTTAGGAAATGAAATAAACAAGGAAAACTAACATTAAAAATAAAGAAAAAAAGTTGTTGCCAGGGTAACCCTTTTTTTTTGGAAAAAGTATCAAAAACGTAGGTACACCATATCTTTGGCACTAATAAAGATAAATGTCTCATTTTAGGGCTGCATATTCTTTAATGATAACTCCAAAACCAGACAGAGTTTTTCTCTACAATTTTTATAGTTTATTGGAAAGTGGTGTTTAATATTTTGTCTCTGGAGAAATATTTTGATAACTTTTGAAATATTAATGATAATTCAAATTGCTTTCTGTCTGATTCAGAGGTAGATATTTGTTTATATATCCTGCAAATTTAGTGAAGATATCTTAATTAGTTACAGAGATATAGTGTACCTACATTTTTCATAATTTTGTCCCAAATAATGTGTTACCCTGGCAACAACTTTTTTTTTTATGCTAGTTTTCCCTTGTTTATTACATTTCCTAACTACTTGTACTATTTTCAATTCAATAGCTTTAACATTTCAGAATAAAAATTTTCGTATAGCCTCCCACCTTAAGTAGCGAAGTTAGTCGAGGATTTTGTATTTTAGATTATTAACGAAGAGAATTTGATCGTATGTTTGGTTTATTCTAACAGTTTATTTAAATTCCTTCATTTACAGGTTTCTGTATGATCTAACCCTGGTACCAGATTTTGCCGAGAGAATTTTCTGTTTTATTTTTCAAAGTACATTCCAAGAGGAGATATCTGTGATAGATACAAAACTAAATAATTTGAAAATGACCTGTGAGGTAAGTCGTGCTATATTAAGAAAAAGATCTTTTTTATAAAAGGATGGTTGAATGGTTAGCACATGTGCGCACTATACCATAAGATCTGTCATTGAGTCAACTGGTGTGGTTTCGACTCCCCGCTTGTATCTGACAAGACATACTCCTCGCAGTGTTTCATTTGATTATACCTAATACCACTAAGCACTGCTTTAATGAAAGCAAATTTCTGTTCCAAATTATGACTGGTCAATGGTCCGATTAACAACCAATAGCTAACTGCGTTAGAAAAGCATTACGCTTAAAACAGAGCTCCAAATTGGACCAAATATGTTTACATAATGTTACGTCATGACTCACGATTTTATTATGCCCAATTAACCAGTGCAAATCACTGTTCCACTTGTTTCCTCCCACTGCTAAAGATCTCTACACGCAAGCAAACTATTGAAATAAAATTGAACCATATGTTTGTCCCGAAATGACCAAGTTTGTGTCGAGTGGACGACGTCCTCCCTAACCTCACGGGTTTCCACCCTGCTTTTAATTGATATGCATATCTAGCAGTTGTATGATCAGAGACTAATTATTTCGATTGACATTTGCTTATTGTCATTTTTTTATGATTTTCTATCTATATTGTGTACTCATAATCATTTATTTTTTTTGTACAAGCGCCACAGAACAGCTTTACAAGCTGGACCCTGGCACTATACAAGTTCAGTAAATTATTATTATTATTATTATTATTTTATTTTTTAGGAATTGATAGATGGTTTTGGAGTAAGAAGAATATTTGGTTTGATATTAACGTTTGGTAATTATATGAATGGAGGTTAGTGATATTGTTATTTATATTGTCAAATATAGCACTGATTACACTCTAGTTCTTTGGATGGGGTGATAAACCGAAGTCCCAGGTACACATTGGTCTGCACTTAAAACCATTATATGAATTATATGAATGGAGGTTAGTCATATAGTTATTTATAGCACTGATTACACTCATGTTATAATAAAAATACTCAAGGGTTTTACTATATATGTCTAGTCATTTGGATGGGACGATAAACCTAGGTCCTGTATACACAACCACGACAGTTGGAATTCGATATAAGAGTAGGCTGTAGTACTGCTGTACGGGAAAAATTTCCCTCATGGCACTACGTATGGCGTATACCCATTTTCATTAGCCCAGTAGGAGCAGAACAGTAGGACGTTAAACCCCATTTCAGTTCATTTCATTTATACTAACTTTGCTTGGGGGGTTGGATGGCTGAATGGTTAGCGTATCATAAAGTCTGTCATTGAGTCAACTGGCGTGGTTTCGAATCCCCGGTTGTACGTGGCAAGGAGTAGGGTCGCCTGTCCAACCTCGTGGGTTTTCTCCGGGTCCTCCGGTTTCCTCCCACTGCTAAAGACCCCTACGCGCAAGTGAATTATTGAAATAAAATTAAACCATATGTTAGTCCCGAAATGACCTAGTTTGTGTCGAGTGGACGTTAAACCCCATTTCTCCCTCTCTCTCTCTCTAACTTTGCTTGACCCGTTTTCATGAGAACAGTTGATGCAGGAAAGTAGGACGTTAAAATCCCATTTCATTTCTAATGTGTGTTTTATGTTTGTATCATTAGGTAGCAGAACTCGTGGTCAAGCAGATGGATTTGGTTTAGAAATTCTTCCCAAGATACGAGATGTGAAAGGCAAGGTGAGGTCCCGTATAGAATTATAAATAATTTATCACAGAACTATCAATAAATAATTTATCAAATGTATGTGAATTCCAACTTTTACTTATTATGAACAACTTGTGTTATGTTTATGTATTTCTTTGCTTCTGAAGACACTTAGAATTTGATAAATTGAGGCTCTCTGGGCAAGGAAGCCACGGTAGCTAAGTGGGTAAGACGCTGGCTGGCTAGGCTGGAGGTCGCGTGTTCAATCCCTGCATTGGCTGAGAAAGTTCAGTGGGATTTTCTAACTTGGTTTCCCCTTGTCAGTGGGTGCAGGATGGGGTCCTGACAAGTACAGCTGTCTAGTCATTCGGATGGGACAGGAAACTGAGGTCCCGTGTATACATTGGTGTGCACGTAAAAGATCCCTTGGCAGTTGGAATTCAATATAAGAGTAGGCCATAGTGGCGCTGCCCAGGCAAAATTTCCCTCATAGCACACTGTACGCCCATCTTCATTAGCCCAGTCGGAGCAGAATAGTTGGAAGTTAAACCCCATTTCATTTCATTCTGTCTGAGCTGGGAGCCACGGTGGCTAGGTGGTTAAGACGATGGCTCGATAGTCTGGAGGTCGGGTGTTCGATCCCTGCATTGGCCGAGAAAGTTCATCCTGATTTTCCGACGTGGTTTCCCCTTTGTCAGTGGTGCAGGACGGAGGGACTGACAAGGACAGCTGTCTAGTCCTTCGGATGAGACAGGAAACCGAGGTCCTGTGTATACATTGGTGTGCACGTAAAAGATCCCTTGGCAGTTGGAATTCGATATAAGAATAAGCCATAGTGCCGCAGCCGAGGCAAAATTTCCCTCATAGCACACTGTATGGTGTATGCCCAACTTCATTATCCCAGTCAGAGCAGAACAGTAGGACATTAAACCCCATTTCATCTCATTTCATTTCTGCCGGGCAAAGTTTCTCTCATAATACACTACATGTCGTATGCCCATCTCTATTAACTCAGTTAGTAAAGAGAAGTAGAATGTTAAATCCTATTTCACAGTCGTTGTTGTTTGTATTTTAGAGGAGAGCCAAAAAAAACTCCCCTCAACAGATTGAAAAAAAATCTCCCTTCAAATAGCTCTCCTAGTTTTGATAAGAAGAGTGATTTAGAAATTAAGGAGAGTGATCTGATATTAAGGAGAGTGTTTAGTTGTGTGCATGAAGATCAATAACTGCACGTTAGCGGGGTCATTCTTGGTTTCATAAATGATAATAAACCCCCCAGTACTTTGTAAAGGTGAGTGATTTTAAGTTTTAAGGAGAGGGAGAAAAACCTCCCCTCGGTCGACATTCAGGAGAGCGGCAGACGCTCGAAAGCGATCGCTCACCTTAAAAAAACAATAACTGATTTCATTTCTTCATGTCTGTCTATATATATTATCACAGGATAATCGTACGAGTTTACTTCAATATGTTGTATTAAAATATATCCAACGCTATGAACAAGAGGAAGCAGGATCAGAGAGAGTGAAACTTCCACTACCAGATCCTAGTGATATTAGTCAAGCTTCCTTAGTCAACTTTGAGGATATCAGAAAAGATCTGAAAAGAATTAAAAAGGATTTTGAATGTAAGTTGAAATCTGTTTACATTTTAAATGTGTGTACATTTTGAATGTAAGTTGAAATCTGTTTACATTTTCACATCGCACCACTTCGCAATATTGGCTAGAAATCCTAAATCTTTTTGTATCAGGAACTGATCTTGTGGGCGACGCTCTTTGAAAATGATTTTTCAGATTTTCTATGGCAGCTCTATTCATGCCAAATGTTCTTAAATTTAAATTGGTTACCGGTATTTAATTGAGGAAAAAAAAAACAATATATCTACCGACTCGGATTTAAAAAAAAGACCATGAAAATAAGATTCAGAAATCATATATAGGCAAGCCAGACAATGAACAAGACCTATATTTATTACATTTAATTTTGTTCAAATTATAATTCTTAACCTGGTATTACTTTTAATTTTTTTATTATTATTATTAAAGCTGCTGAAAAACGGGCTGAGAAAGTTTTACAATCCTCGGCTTCAAAAAATTGTCAAGAACCATTTCATAAAGTCATGTCTACATTCTTTATTAAAGGTGAGTTGTAGACGGAAATATGGGAATTTAGAACAGGGTTCCCTTTTTTGGGGGGATGGTTACTTGAGAGATGGGGATGCGGAGCAGTCTTTTCCATTGTACATAGAGAGAGAGAGAGAAATGGGGTTTAACGTCCACTCGACACAAACTAGGTCATTTCGGGACTAACGTATGGTTTAATTTTATTTACATAATTCGCTTGCGCGTAGGGGTCTTTAGCAGTGGGAGGAAACCGGAGGACCCGGAGAAAACTCACGAGGTTGGACAGGCGACCCTACTCCTTGCAACATACAACCGGGGATTCGAAACCACGCCAGTCGACTCAATGACAGACTTTATGATACAGCGCGCGCACGCTAACCATTCAGCCATCCAACCCCCCTCCATTGTACATAGTATAGTTTCGAATCTAGGCCTACATTTTTTGTTTTATTGTATATGTACAAACACTGTAATCCAGGTATCATCATTTAATCTTTTGTATCTAATTTCTTTTACATCCGCTAAATATCAGATCAGGGCCGTAATTAGCTCAGAGCAATGAGGGGGGGCAGGAAGTTTTCTCAGGGGTGCTGTTAAATTGATGGACAATGTATATCTATTTTTTTTTTAATGGTTGACAATTTTTTCACAGGATACAGTTTAAAGCTGACTGATTAATTTTCATAATAAGTGTCTAATTTCTTAACCACCTTTCAAACATTAATCATTATACATCAATAATCAATTGGGTTGTTATTTTTTAACGGTGATTGAAAAATTAAACGCCTGTAAATTGGACACTAATTATCAAACTTGAATGGTCAACTTTTATGAATTTTGAAACAAAGATATGATATTTAACGAATGTGAAAGAAATTAGCGCTAAATACACAAGATTAAATGATACCCAAGTTACAGTGAAAGATTCCTTGGAAAAATCATAAACTAGAATGAAATGTCTGTCATATTGGTTTAAGCTTTTCTTTTTGTCACATATATATATAAATTTTTCCCAATATATATTATGGGATGGGGGGTTGAATGGCTGAATGGTTAGCACGTGCGCGCTGTATCACAAAGTTTGTCATTGAGTCAACTGGCGTGGTTTCGATTCCCTGGTTGTATGTGACAAGGAGTAGGCCCGCCTATCCAACCTTGTGAGTTTTCTCCGGGTCCTCCGGTTTCCTCCCACTGCTGAAGACCCCTACACGCAAGTGAATTATATAAATAAAATTGAAGCATGTGTTAGTCCCGAAATGACCTAATTTGTGTCGAGTGGACGTTAAACCCCATTTCTCTCTATATATATATTATGGGATGAAAAAATGGGGTCCCATATTTACATTGTTGTGCACATAAAAGAACCCTTGACAGAATTTTATGAAGTATAGCTGGAGAGTCAATTTATCTCATTGCACTAGTCCACCTGTCTTCATTAGCCCAGTTGGTGCAGAAAAGTAGGATGTTAAACCCTACTTCATTATATTTCCTGTCTGCACGTTCTCTTTCCTGCCCATTTAACTGGGGAGCCACAATGGCTCAGTGAGTAAGATGCTGGCTCACTAGCCTGGAGGTTGTGGGTTTGCTCCCGATGCTGGCCGAGAAAGTTCATTGTGATTTTCCGACATGGTTTCCCCCCATGGCAGTGGTGCAGGATGGAGGGACTGACAAGAACAGCTGTCTAGTCATTCGGATGAGACAAAAAACCAAGGTCCTGTGTACACATTGGCGTGCACGTAAAAGATCCCTTGGCAGTTGGAATTCGATATAAGAGTAGGCTTAAGCGCCTCTGTTCGGACAAAATTTCCCTCATAGCAAACTGTATGTCGTATGCCTTTATTAGCCCAGTCGGAGCAGGACAGTAGGATGTTAAACTCCATTTCATTTCAATTTCCTGCCCATTTAACTGATATTTTGTGTATTTTTCTAGGTAAACAAGATATTTGGATGTAAATTGTCCCTACTGCAACCTGGTATATTCCCTGTGTTTCCTTTGCTACCTATCTATGTAATAACAGAACACAGTTTTTATGGGATACAATCACTAGTTTTATTCTAAAAGCACGACGTTTCGACAAGTATCCTCTTATCGTTATCAAGCACAAAAAATGAAACTTTTAGAATAAACTAGTGATTGTATCCCATAAAAACTGTGTTCTGTTAATTTGTTCCCCGATCGCTAAATGCCACTTAAAGAATATATCTATGTAATGTTTTATTGTATTTTCTAGGTAAACAAGACTGTAAAGAACTGGAAGATCTGATAGATGAAAGTTATAAAAAGTTAGTTCATTTTAGATTAACAATGTGTAATCCATTTCAATATCAGGGGTTTGGGTGACTGAATGATTAGCGTGTGTGCTCCTTATCATAAGGTCTGGCATGGTTTCGCTTCCCCGGTTGTACGTGACAAGGAGTAGGGTCGCCTGCCCAACCTCGTGGGTTTTCTTCGGGATCTCCGGATTCCTCCCACTGCTAAAGACACCTATGTGCAAGTGAATTATTGAAATAAAATTGAACCATCTTTCCTCCCACTACTAAAGACACCTATGTGTCGAGTGGCCGTTACACTTTATATTATTATTCTTAAAAATAATAGAAATATTATCGACAAATTAAAAACTTGTATCATTCACACATTACTGATGAAATCATTAGATCAACCTAGCCGACACCCATTCAGGTCAGCCCTGTTGGTACCCCCTTCAGATCAGCCTAGTGCAGTCCCCTTACAGATCAGTAGTGCAGCCCATTCAAATCAGCCCTGTTGGGACCCCCTTCAGATCATCCTAGTGCAGTCCCCTTTTAGATCAGTAATATAAACCCAGCTGCTCACCACTCTCCAATGATCCCAGTTGCATCCCAATCAAATCAGCCTAGCCAGGGTCCTTTCAAATCAGCCCAGCTGCCCACCTCCCTCCAATCAGTCAAGTTGTGTCCCTCTCAGATCAGCCTAGGCCCCCTCTCAGATCAGCCTAGGTCCCCTCTCATCAATTGAAGTGCCCAACCCCTCTGATCAGCACAACATCCATATAAAATTGAATTGAATTCAGTTAAAGGAAAATGTTATGGGTTTTTTTTTGTTTCAGATTTGAAGAAACTGTGATATATTTTTGTTTTTGTTTCAGATTTGAAGAAACTGTGATATATTTTTGTGTAAAACCTAAAAGTGGAGAAAAGGAAGTAACTGCTGGTTATTTTTTCTCGTTTTGGTCAAGTTTTTGTAAAGATTTTAAAGATTGTTGGAAAAAAGAACAACAAAAAATCATCAAAGAAAGGTACTTAACAAATTGTCCGTCTAGAAAATTAGAAATTTATAAAAATTACTAGCCTTATCTTATGGCGGCATTTATAATAATAAACTAGAACATTTGAGGAAGAACAATTAAATTAAACTACTGTACTTGCTTGAAAATGTTGAAGGGGAGTGGATGGCCGAATGGTTAGCACGTGCGCATTGTATCATAAGGTATGTCATTGAGTCAACTGGCATGGTTTTGATTTCCCGATTGTACATGACAAGGAGTAGGGTCGCCTGTCAAACCTTGTGGGTTTTCTCCGGGTCCTCCGGTTTTCTCCCACTCCCTCCCACTGTTAAAGACCTCCTATGCGCAAATGAATTATTGAAATAAAATTGAACCATATGTTAGTCCCAAAATGACCTAGTTTGTGATGAGTGGACATTAAACCTCATCTGTCTCTCTCTAGTGGACAAATACAATGTAAATAGCCCCATTAAATTTCTTTTAAAACACTGCTGGTGTATTTTTTCAGAATAAAAGAAGCCCAGAATCATGTAAAGAGATTGAAAGACGATAAGAAAGTTATTTTATCTCAGACCAGATCTAGGAAAGCAGGAGGACTGGTAAGTAACTGGAGGTCCCTTGTTCGATCCCGGTGTCATCTGGTTCCCCTTGCCTATGGTGTAGGACGGAGGGCCTGGCAAGGGACAATGAATAATCATTCGGATGGTACGAAAAACTGAGGTCCCATTTTTACATTGGCGTGCACATAAAAGAACCCTTAACTGTTGGAATTGGAAATAAGAGTAAGTCATAGTGCCGCAGTCCGGGAAAAATTTCCCTCATAGCACACTGCATGGCATGTGTCTGTCTTCATAAGTCCCATTTCATTTCAAGTAATGGTATTGTTTGAGTTCATTTGATCTAGTATATCGTGATATAAAATGACATGCATCACGGCTCTGTTTGATATCTTAAAAGAATTTCAAATGATCAATCTAATTAAAATACAAATTTATTTTTCGTTTCGTTTTTTTATAATTTCGATAGCCTAAACTACATGTAGATCTGACTAGTTGTACTGGGAGGTCGCGTCGGGTCGTACAAGTGGCTTTTGCGCTTATGCCGTCAGACATTGATTAATCAATCAGCGTTGACGTTTCTTGAGGGTTACCCACAGTTCCGTGCATCGCACGCCAAGAAGTCACCATAACAGATGGTTTCATTGGCTAATCCCTCACGCCATCCAGAACGCAGGTTATATAACAACTCTTCCAGATCCTAGTGTAACACAGAAAAATAAAACGAAATTTTGAACTGTAAAAAATGAAACGTAATAGGACACAGGATATAACGCAGATACTAGTGTAGTAAAGACAAGTAAAATGAAATTTTGAACTATAAAAAAACGAAACGAAATAGGATCTGTGTTTTAATCATATTGGTCAAATGACATACCATGTTAACCTACTTTTGATCATTTAACTGAAGAATGAAATGTCAATTTGTTGTTTTACAGAAAGACAGATTGGCTAAATCTGGAATGTTTTAAGAATCTGCTGTCTTTTAATGTAAGTATATACATTTGTTTAGTAGCTCTATGGTTCAAGGTCGCCTGTCCAACCTCATGCGTTTTCTCCGGGTCCTCCGGTTCCCCCCTGTCAAGTGGATGTTAAAACCCATCTCTCTCTCTCTCACTTGGTAGTTGGAATTCGATATAAGAGTAGGCCGTAGTGCCACTGTCCGGGCAAAATTTCCCACATAGCACACTGTATGGCTTATTCCTATCTTCATTATACCCAATTTCATTTCACTGGTTCATAATGCTCATTAACAAATGTGGTCTGTGTCATTTCTTGCCAGTGGTCTCATCAAATACTTATTTTACAATTCAAATATTCGTTATTTTAGAGTTTAACGTCCACTCGACACAAACTAGGTAATTTTGGGACTAACATATGGTTTAATTAAATTTCAATAACTTGCTTGCATGTAGGGGTCTTTGAATTAGCTGTAGGAAGAAACTGGGGGGACCCAGGTAAAACCGACGAGGTTGTGGAGGCAATCCTACTCCTTTTCACATACAGGCTTGGGATTGAAACCACGCAATGGCAGATTTTATGATCTCTGGGTCACCTAAGCTGTGATAAGGGCAAAAATGAAAATTAAGGGATAAAGTAGATAATGAGAGATGAAATATGGGGATGAAATAAAAACAGAGATAAAGAGAAGGGGCTAATTTAAGATAGATGTAAGATGGTTATTGAAGTGAAGGACCCGAAGAACCGGGTCTTATAATTATTCAAGGAAACTTAACTAAAATATTGCATGTTCATTGGTCGTGTTAACCACCCCGATTATAATAACAGGTTTACATCTATTAAAGATACATTAGTTAAGAGTTTAATAAAGAGTTGGCCATTCTTGCTATAATCATTCAAAAATTGATGATAAAAAAAGAAAATTTCAGTCAAATTACTTTATTCTGTATTCTAACGGAGTTGTCACTGTTGGAAGTTTGGACTAGAAAGAGACATCAATTGTCTCCTCACCGTCTAAGAGAATTACCGATCGTTTGATTGACAGACGATAACTCCACCCACAGTCTCTGGAAGGGATGTCAATCCAAGCTGTATCCAAGCCATCCGAGGTTCTACAGAGTTGATTTTCAGCTTGTTCTGTAAATAAATGTCTAATTAATAATTTGTATGACATCTGAAGCCTAAAGAAAGACTTGCAATAGGCAGATTTTGCTCTTAACTAATGTATGTTTAATAGTATCTTGTAGATTTGATATAATTCACACCCTGTTTTCTCATACATATATAGCAGTTTCCATTCTCTGTATAAATCAGATGTTTTAATTTATATTTTCAGGTATGTTGAAGTGTCTGAAAAGTTCTGTTTTATGCATTTTTATAGTCCATATTTAATAGATATTTACTAACTATATGTACATCTTATATATCTGATATATAATGTTATGCTAGGTTCACACTATCACGATTCGTGGCTTTAATCGTGGAGTAATTGTGATGATCCTATCAGATCTTATCATATATTGAGGTCAGTCGTAAAAATCGTTTTTAATTGTATTGAAACGTACCAGATTGTGGACTCAATAGGTACAATCCTATCGTAACACATCGCATGACAGTAGGAACCTAGCATAATAGAAATGTAACGCTTCTAATGTAATAACATGTATCCAGTAGGGGACACAGTATTTCTAGTTAGGGTTAGGGCTAGGGTGTCAATAGTGATCTGAATATAACATTGAAATTCATCCGCCGCAACACCCCGACCAACAAAAAGCACAATTTTAGATGAGGGGAATGCAGGCCCCTAGGGCCCCCATCTGTATCTGTCACTGCATGTATTAGTTAGGGTTGTACAAGTATACTTGCCGTAATACAATAAGCCACACATGTCATCTAGTGTAATGACAGGTGAATCCCCCTCTACAAATGTTTGTCCTTATATGGACATGTACATCTAATATTTAGATGTTATATATATGGTTGTTATATATACATGTATTAAAGTAGATAAAGTACAAGTACTTCTATATTTACGGTAGATAAATTAATAAAAAATATGTCCAGGTAAAAAATTCACCACTTTACTTCATTCTAACATACATTAAATCTTATAAACTAGCTGTCTTCCTTCTATAGGTGTCTTCATATTTTAAAGATACATTATGGGAGATTAGATAAAGATCTGGTAGTTCTCACTATAATAGTTCAAAACTACATAATGTAAAGGGAATTTGCTGAAATTTCATTCAAATTGATCCACAATGAAGCGGGAATTTACCGATTCAATTTTGGGCCTAGCCTCGATCATCATTACGGTACTCTACTAAAGTTGGTACGATAAAAAAAACATAGTCTCGATTATCCACTGTTTGATTTAATCAAAAGCAGCAGACCGGGTTTGAATCCAGTAAATATCGCAGACTAGCGATGGCATCGAGAGTTGATTATGGTCTGGATAAGTTAATTAATGTCTAATTAATAATTTAGATAACATTTCAGGCCTAAAGAAAGACCTGTAATCGGCAGATTTAGCTCTTGCATAATGTATGTTTAATAATGTATACAAAAATTTAAAATTGAACCATACATATATATGCATATAGATATACAACTATCTGGATTACACTCAGATCTTATATGGACATCTACACCTGTGTTCAAGTATGCCCAGGCTGACTTACATCACCTGACAGATTGACTTACATCACCTGACAGGTTGACTTGCATCACCTGACAATTTGACTTACATCACCTGACAATTTGACTTCCTCACAGTGACTTACAACTCCTGACGGTTTGACTTAAAACACCTGACAGTGACAATGTACCTCACATACAGATTTAGATTACTTTTCTTAATTTAATTGCGTTCACAAATCTAGACACTACCATAGATGGCCATATGGTTAGTGCTTTGTGTTATAAGGTCTGTGATTGAGTCAACTGGCAAGGTTTCGATGTCCCGGTTGTGCGTGACAAGGAGTAGGGTCACCTGTCCAACCTCGTGGGTTTCTCCGGGTCCACCAGTTTCCTCCCACTGCTAAAGAACCTCACACTAACTATATCCAAGGAGCATAAAAAATCTTAATCAGGCTCTAATATTTGTATCTTTTCCAGAATTATATTTATTATTTTTATATAGTTATATGTTTACAACATTCCCCCAATATTAAAATCAAACTATGTTTATTTACATTCAAACTGTTGTTTTGTTTGGGATTTCTCATCTTAAAGAAGAAAAATACCCTTGACTTACTGTAAAATATAATGTTGAGTAAGATCAAAAGATATTGTTGACTTGCATTAAAATATAATGCTGACTTAAGTTAAGGTTAAAATGTAATGTTGATTTAAGGTAAAATGTAATTTTGACTGTAAAAATTTAAGGTAAAATGTAATTTTGACTGTAAAAATGTAATGTTGATTTAAGGTCAAATGTAATTTTGACTAGAAATGTAATGTTGATTTCAGTTAAAATATAATTTTTACTGTAATCAAAAAATATTACTAACTAAAGTTTTTGTAGAAGCCAAAATGCGATTTTGACTCCTGGTAGAATTAAATGCGGAATAAGACCAGAAAATAATTTGGACTGCAGTCACAAAAAATATAACGTTGACTTAAACTGATGTTCTGGGGGATCGGGTATTAGTAATGATGAAACAAAGTTAGCTGTTCACCACATTATTTACATCGACTATGAATTGGGGATCACGTGGCTAAGTGGGTAAGACGCTGGCTTGCTAGCCCGAAGGTTGGGTGTTCGATCCCTGCATTGGCTGAGAAAGTTCATCCAGATTTTCCAGCGTGGTTTCCCCTTGTCAGTGATGCAGGATGGAGGACCTGACAAGGACAGCTGTCTAGTCTTTCGGATGGGATGAAAAACCAAGGTCCTGTGTACACATTGGCATGCATGTAAAAAGATCCCTTGGAAGTTGGAATTCGATATAAGAGTAGGCCGTAGTGCCGATGCCCGGGCAAAATTTCCCTCATAGCACACTGTATGGTGTATGCCCTTCTTCATTAGCCCAGGTTAGGAACAGAACTGTAGGACGTTAAACCCCATTTCATTTCATTTAATACCTGGAATTTTTCATTTTTGAAAATAATCAAAATGGTCACCCTTTTCATCAATAAACATTCCTTAATGTATTCACATGTTCAATGTAGGTCTGGAAATATTGTCGGTTGATCATAACAAAATGTCAGGAAATAATTATGTTGTACCTGGCGTTTGTAACTTTGTCATGGACATTTAGTATAAACATCAATAAAATTACTGAGACAATGACAGACTACCATATAATTATACCGGACAAAGTTTGATTTTCTGCCCGACATTATTTCTAGCCCAGGGGCCTGTTTCACGAAATTTTAACTAAGATAAAATCCAAATTTTAGTAATTTGATTGGATAATATTAGATTGATTTTAGTGCTTAGCCAATCAAAATTAAAGTATCTACTAAAATTTGGATTTAATCCTTAGTTAAGATTTTGAGAAACAGGGCCTTGGAGCAAAGGTTGTGTCCAAAGGTTGTTTCGTATGATCTTTAGTTATTTTAAAATATAGATCTTCAATTGTTTAAATATACAATGTTATTATGTAGTAAATTATATATATATATATAACTGCTTGTATTTATTTTATAGTTATTATGTTTTATACTGTAAATAAATACATATACAGCACAGATTAACACAGGTTATCTTAGTCTGTTTATACAACACCGTACGGGTTATCTTAGTCTGTTTATACAACACCGTACCGGTTATCCTAGACTGTGTATACATATACAAAACAAGTTATCCTAGACTGTTTATACATATACAACACAGATGATCCTAGACTGTATATACATATACAAAACAGGCTATCCTAGACTGTATATACATATACAAAACATGTTATACATGTTTATACATATATAACACAAGTTATCCTAGACTGTTTATACATATACAACACAAGTTATCCTAGGCTGTATATACATATATAACGCAAGTTATCCTAGACTGTATATACATATATAACACAAGTTATCCTAGACTGTATATACATAATTATACAACACAAGTTGTCCTAGACTGTATATACATATACAACACAAGTTATCCTAGACTGTTTATACATATACAACACAAGTTATCCTAGACTGTATACACATATATAACACAAGTTATCCTAGACTGTATATACATAATTATACAACACAAGTTGTCCTAGACTGTATATACATATACAACACAAGTTATCCTAGACTGTTTATACAACACCAGTTATCCTAGACTGTATATAAAACAGGTTATCCTAGACTGTTTATACATATATAACACAGGTTATCCTAGACTGTATATACATATATAACACATGTTATCCTAGACTGTATATACACATATATAACACAAGTTATCGTTGACTGTATATACAAGTAAAAGGGATTTTGATGTCCTACTTTTCTGCATCAATTGGTCTAATGATGATGGATATTCGCCCTCCAGTGTGGTTTGAGTGGAATGTCCGGCTATTCTTCGTCTAACGATCAATACACTCATTCCATCCCACCATCAATACATTCATTCCATCCCACCACCAATACACTCATTCCATCCCACCATCAATACTCATTCCATCCCACCATTAATGCATTCATTCCATCCCATCATTAACACACTCATTCCATCACATCCCACCATCAATACACTCATTCCATTCCACCATTAATACACTCATTCCATCCCATCATCAATACACCCATTCGATCTCATACCACCATACTCATTCCATCCCACCATCAATACACTCATCACACCCCATCATTAATACACTCATTCCATCCCATCATCAATACACTCATTCTTTCACACCATCAATACACTCATTCCGTCCCACCATCAATACACTCATTCCATCCCACCATCAATACACTCATCACATCCCATTATTAATACACTCATTCCATCCCATCATCAATACACTCATTCTATTCCACCATCAATACACTCATTCCGTCCCACCATCAATACACTCATTCCATCCCACCATCAATATACTCATTCCATCCCACCATCAATTCACCCATTCCATCCCACCATCAATACACTCATTCTATCCCACCATTAATACACTTATTCCATCCCACCATCAATACACTCGGGGATCACGTGGCTAAGTGGGTAAGACGCTAGCTCGCTAGCCTGGAGGTCGGGTGTTCGATCCCTGCATTGGCCGAGAAAGTTCATCCAGATTTTCCGGCGTGGTTCTCCCTTGTCAGTGATGCAGGACGGAGGGGCTGACAAGGAAAGCTGTCTAGTCGTTCGGATGGGACGAAAAACCGAGGTCCCGTGTACACATTGGCGTGCACGTAAAAGATCCCTTGGCAGTTGGAATTCGATATAAGAGTAGGCCGTAGTGCCGCTGTCCGGGCAAAATTTCCCTCATTGCACACTGTATGGCGTATGCCCGTCTTCATTAGCCCAGGTTAGGAGCAGAACAGTAGGACGTTAAACTCCATTTCATTTCATTTCCATCAATACACTCATTCCATCCCACCATAAATACACTCATTCCATCCCACCACCAATACACTCATTCCATACCACCATCAATAAATATTCCATCCCATCATCAATGCACTCATTCCATCCCACCATCAATACACTCATTCCATCCCACCATCAATACTCTCATTCTATCCCACCATTAATACACTCATTCCATCCCACCATCAATACACTCATTCCATCCCACCATCAATACACTCTTCCATCCCACCACCAATACACTCATTCCATACCGCCATCAATAAATATTCCATCCCATCATCAATACACTCATTCCATCCCACCATCAATACACTCATTCTATTCCACCATCAATACACTCATTCCATCCCACAATCAATACACTCATTCCATCCCACCATCCATACACTCATTCTATCCCACCACCAATACACTCATTCCATCCCACCATCCATACACTCATTCCATCCCACCATAAATACACTCATTCCATCCCATCATCAATACACTCATTCCATCCCACCATCCATACACTCATTCTATCCCACCACCAATACACTCATTCCACCCACCATCAATACACTCATTCCATCCCACCATAAATACACTCATTCCATCCCATCATCAATACACTCATTTCATCCCACCATCAATACACTCATTACATCCCACCATCAATGAACTCATTCCATCCCATCATCAATTCCTTCCCACCATCAATAAACTCATTCCATCACATCATCAATTCTACCCCACCATCAATAAACTCATTCCATCTCATCATCAATTCCATCCCACCATCAATACACTCATTCCATCATCCCACCATCAATACACACATTGCATCACCGCTCATGATTAATACACAACTTGGAAGAGGGGTGATTTGCATCTGTATATAAACTAAATGCCTCTCAAAGATTATGTATATAACCTAGCTGGGTACAGTTCTGGCCGGGTTAAGTCAACGGCTTTATGCTAGGTTTCCCACTGTCGTGCGATGCGTTAAATGGGATTGTCCCTATTGAGTCCCTGGTACGTCCATATATGTTTCGATACGATCAACACGGTTGCTACGACTGACCTCAATATATGATAAGACCTGATAGGATCACCACGATTACTCCAAGATTAAAACCACGATTTCAATCGCAGCACGAATCGTGATAGTGGGAACCTATAAGGTGCTGCAGTCTAAGGACCTCCACCAAGATGTTACAAGAAAGGCTATCTCATTTGTGAATTCTGATTTCAATCGCAGCACGAATCGTGATAGTGGGAACCTATAAGGTGCTGCAGTCTAAGGACCTCCACCAATATGTTACACGAAAGGCTATCTCATTTGTGAATTCTGATTTCAATCGCAGCACGAATCGTGATAGTGGTAACCTATAAGGTGCTGCAGTCTAAGGACCTCCACCAATATGTTACACGAAAGGCTATCTCATTTGTGAATTCTGATTTCAATCGCAGCACGAATCGTGATAGTGGGAACCTATAAGGTGCTGCAGTCTAAGGACCTCTACAAAGATGTTACACGAAAGGCTATCTCATTTGTGAATTCTGATTTCAATCGCAGCACGAATCGTGATAGTGGGAACCTATAAGGTGCTGCAGTCTAAGGACCTCCACCAAGATGTTACACGAAAGGCTATCTCATTTGTGAATTCTGATTTCAATTGCAGCACGAATCGTGATAGTGGGAACCTATAAGGTGCTGCAGTCTAAGGACCCCCACCAAGATGTTACACGAAAGGCTATCTCATTTGTGAATTCTGATTGCAATCGCAGCACGAATCGTGATAGTGGGAACCTATAAGGTGCTGCAGTCTTAGGACATCCACAAAGATGTTACACGAAAGGCTATCTCATTTGTGAATTCTGATTTCAATCGCAGCACGAATCGTGATAGTGGGAACCTATAAGGTGCTGCAGTCTAAGGACCTCCACCAAGATGTTACACGAAAGGCTATCTCATTTGTGAATTCTGATTTCAATCGCAGCACGAATCGTGATAGTGGGAACCTATAAGGTGCTGCAGTCTAAGGACCTCCACAAAGATGTTACACGAAAGGCTATCTCATTTGTGAATTCTGAATAAAAGTATAGGTACTTTAAATTATTTATATTTAACACAAACGATTCAATTAACAGACTTTTATCACCCAATAATACATTCTACAGTAGATATCGCTTGTTTGATAAATTTCATAATCTACGGAGATATCGCTTTACATGAATTTGATTGGTCAGTTAAAAAGGAACTACTTTTTTGTATTTTCCTTGATGGAAACATTGGGTCAATACAAAGGACTTTGCAATGGTTGAATTGCTGTCAAAAAATGATGTATCACTGCACCGTAATGTAATCAGGTTCAGTAAAAGTGAAATCTATAGCAAAGATTTATATTTATTTATTTATTTGTGCATGTAAGAAAGGATTGGGTGATAAATAAAATCTCCTACTCGTCTTTTTCGATATCAAAAAATATCAACATTCGTCGATAAAGTAAAAAACAAACTCGGCAGAGCCTTGTTTTGGGTTTTTTTTTTTATTTTTTTACTTTATCGACTTGTGTCGATATTTTTTTTGATATAAAAAAGACGAGTAGGAGATTCTCTTTATATATTTGTAGTAGGCCTAAATATACAACTACAGAATGAAACACTGGATTGTGAACACGACACATGTTGAGTTACGTCTATATATGTCTCTCTTTATTTTAATCTTTGATGCCAACTCGGATATTACAGTCTTTAGTAAATAAACCCAACTTGTCTTTACCTCTAGACTATTCCTTTAAATTATAACATAAAAATATGATAAAAGCGCTAAGTATTTGATCACGTAAACCGTCTAGAAATTACTTCAAATATTAGCTAAAGTCATTAATTAACACATAGGGTGTTTTTATGTCGAACCAACATCATAAATTGTATAAATGGCGGCCATAAACAGTCGAGCTGTTGACTCTGATCGTAAATACGGGAATATTATTTTTATAAACAAACACGGCGAGGCGACAAAATTCTGTTGAATTCCAGGAATAAACTTGGTTAAATATTGTCGTGGGAGTATCATATAATTAAATGAAAGAAAATTGCCTTTTCATCTGCAGGCCGACATAATTCGGCAATTAAAATAGAGAAATTACTTCATATATTAGCGGA